GCGTCGGACTTTGCGGCGCGATACTTCGGGATGAGGGGAAGGCTGTGGACTCTATGGATCCTGCAGACATTCGGGGGAGTGTTCTGCATGTGGCTAGGGAAGGCGGACAAGCTCCCAACAGCCATAGCGGCAATGATATTGTTCTCAATAGGAGCACAGGCTGCGTGTGGAGCCACATTTGGGATCATTCCCTTCATTTCTAGGCGGTCTCTAGGGATCATATCAGGGCTGACAGGAGCAGGAGGGAACTTTGGGTCTGGCTTGACTCAGTTAGTGTTCTTCTCAACCACCAAATACTCCACGGACAAAGGGCTGTTCTTGATGGGGATAATGATTGTGTGTTGCACTCTTCCAGTCACTTTGGTTCACTTCCCTCAATGGGGAAGCATGTTCTTACCCCCAACCAAACACGTTGAGAAGTCCACTGAGGAATTCTATTACGGCGCTGAATGGACTGAGGATGAAAAGAAGAAGGGTTTGCACCAACAAAGCATCAAGTTCGCTGAGAACAGCCGGTCTGAACGTGGAAGGCGCGTTGGCTCAGCCCCAACCCCACCAAACACCACTCCTTCCCATGTTTGAACAATCAAACAACTTCCCTCAACTCCCAACTTGGCTATCATCACAATATATCTATATTTTACTATTTTGTATATCTATTTTACTATTTCCTTCTCAAATGGATCCATTGGGGAGTTTTTTAGTATATTCTGTGAATCTTCTTTGTACCAAAAAAGAGTGATGAAATGAGTATTATAATGGCTCAATGGCGTTTCGTGATTGGATCCAAATTGATATTAAATGTAGTTTTTGGTGATATCATTATGGGGAAAGCTTGATATTAATTGGAATGGGACATTTATGTTATGATATAAAAGTCAGAGGGTTTTTGTGCAATTTCATATTGAAGTGCACCAAGTTGTGTGGCTAATTGACTTTATATATTGTTTTAAATGTGTTGGCTTATAGGTATTGGGCTGTGAAAGATTGTGAAAGGTTCCAAGCACTTGGGGAGAAGACTTTTAAAATCTATATTTTGTGCCTTGGATTCAACTATAAGTTTTTTCTTTCTTTTAATATTGAAAGTTGATTGCTTTGCTGATATCATCTTCTTAAAGTTGACTAATTCCTAGTTTTAAGGCATACGAAATATACATATTTTATGAAAGATGATGACTTCGAGCGGACATGTAGATAATAATTAATATAGAAGGTTTTGGGTTTAGGTTAATTATTTGTTTGGTCTTTGTTTATGCCTAATTTTTATTCGATATGGTTTCTATGATTACCACTACTCTTGTTCCCTCACCTCTTTAGCGTTCTGGAGGGTCGTCTTTTGCTGCTTTAGAAAGGAGAGAATTTCTTAAAGTCACTTTCTCCAACCTTTTCTATCGAGATGGAGAAGTCCTCCTCACTGACCCTAAAGAGGTTAGCTCACGAGCAAAGAAGTTAGGGTGTCATGAAATAGACAAAACTACCATGATCGTCTAAGGTTGAACAAATTTGATCTTAGCAAATTGATGATCAATAGCGTAAGTTGAGTTCTTTGTCACTGTTGTCATTACATGCTATTGGTAACCATCTTTCGTTGTTTATTGAGGCATGATTGTTTTTATTTCCCTTGTTGAATAAGAATTTTGGCTAATCATAACTTGTCACATAATTCATTTAAAATGGATAACAAGTTACATATTATTAGTTTTGAAATCAATATCAACCTAATAAAGTTTCTAAATTAAAATTTAAGAATAAAAATAAAAAATCGAGATAAAGTTAGTTGTTTCATCCCGCATGATTGCATGATTGATAGTGCACATTGTAAGTTATTTCTAAAGTTTATTTATGGCTAATTTTGATAAGAAATCGACCATTTTTAAAATATATAATTAGGAGTGCAAATCATTCTAACACAAAGGAATAGGTGCACATGGGAGTGGCATAGAGACAACATCTAGTCTCTATGGATGGTCGTAACAGTGAAAAATTGGCAATTTCTCTTTATCGAGCTAAGGGAGCGCGTTTTGAGCCATGGAGCTGAACTGAAGTCGAGCCGACCTAATCGAGATGTGTAAGTCGAAGGGGTGCCTGGCAGGTGCGACAAATGGCACAATTGGGCACTGACATGTGTGTAGATCGAGGCGCGGGTAGCTGCAAGCGTGCGGGTCATGGTTCGTGATGTTGGGCTATTGTAGGTGTTAGGCCGCTATAGGTACTGGTTTCGGGCTGCAAGCGGGAATACTGAGTTGCAAGTTTGGGTATTGGGTTGAGGGCAGAATGGTAGGATAATGGGTTATCCGTTGGGTACCTGATCCAGATTCGACCCGACGTCCACGGACTTTGTTTTTCTTACTCGACTTCTCACAAAAACGTCAATGACTTTCTCTCTCCTCTGAAAACCGTACTCGACGTCTATTTCTCGTCATTCTTCCTTCGGTTCTTCTCTATTGGTCTCCTCTCTCACTCCCACGACATATCGTGGCTTGTAAACACCTATAACATGTAGATCTATGAGGTTCCCAAAAATACGAAACCCAAAATGCATCCCCAACGAAGAACAACGTTGTTAAAGCATCAAAACTTATCTCCTATGTACATGTAGTTGTTCGTGGTCCTTTGCGCGGTGTGGGTTGGTCATTTCGATGTGAGATCTGTGAGATTAACTTCGCTTAAGAACTCTCAAATACTATTCATTTTCCTCTCGATTTTTTCTTTCTTGCCGTGGAGTGAGGGGAGGGTGTGGTTGAGATGGAAGCGAGAATTCCAACTCTCGCCAGAATTCTCCGACAACCACGTTGAAAATTATTATCATTATTATTATTTTAATTGTTGCCATTACATCGACCCTAACCCCACATAATATCATTAGTAACAAATAAATCTATTGATTGTTCATGTTAAATCCTCGTGATTTTACTTTGTGTTTCTCTTCAAAGATCTCGTACCAATACAAATAATCATTCTTATACTCAAAATCTTGTTTTGTATGATATGGGAGGCGTGTTGCCCCACATCTCAGCTCGCAGTTAGAATTGCTGTATTTTATGATGTATAATGCACTTTTATCCACCAAAAAGCACACTAAACCTCCCCCACATAAAACCCACAAAAAGAATCCAATGGGGAATTTGTTAGCATCATGGGATCTGTCGACGGTGGAGGCATCCAAAATGGCCTTTTGTGAGAAAGATCCAACCAAAGTTTTTGTTTTTAATATTAAAAGTTGATATCTTTTCATTTTAATATTGTGTGACCTAAGCCTTGGGGACAAGAATTTTTCCATGCCTTAAAATATCATTTTTTGTTTGTCTCATTCTTGGCGTCATCTTTATTTTATTTTATTTTTCATGTACCCTCTTTTAATAATAAATTCCAATTTATTTAAACAATACTATTAATATATTTCAATGTTTTCTCTAGTACTAATACATCGGGTAAAGGGTGGGTACATGAATGAACCGAGATCACATTCGAACGAAAGCAATTATGAGGATAGGTTGATTAAGAAAGGATTTAAACCATTGTTAAGTTACTACCTATACCAACAAGGTGTACCTTTCTTTTCAAGACTCAATCATAAAAACTTCAAAGTTAAGCGTGTTTTTCTTCGAGGAATTCTATGTTGGGTGGTCTCCTGGAAATTTTCCTAAGAACCATATGGGCAAGGATAAAGTATGCAAAAATGACTCATGTTAGTATGTGAGGATAGTCTAAACTCTTAGAAGCAAAGAGTAAGTAACTAACTCTTAACAATTCATAGCCCTATGTACAGATACACATGGGTCAGGTTGGGTTGGGTTGAAGGAGTTTTTTTGGATCAATCCAAAAGTTTAGGTTGGTAGGATTGGTAACCCAACTCAACTCGAAAATTTTTACAACCTAATCCAACCCCTATAATTCAGGTTTGGTCGATTCAAGTTGTCGGGTTCGTGTACCCTATAATTCAGGTTGGGTCGATTCAAGTTGTCGGGTTCGTGTACACCCCTAGCTCTATTTATAATTCATAGCCCTATCTATAATTTTAAAAAATAGAAGTTGATGAGTTATCATAAATTTGAGATGACAAGACCACAACAATCTTCTACAATGGTATGATATTGCCCATTTTGAGCATAAGTTCTAAAACTTTGCTTTTGATTTTCCTAAAATATTTCATGTGAGTGGAGATAGTGTCTCTTACTTATATACTCATGATCTTTTTAATTAGCTAATGTGGGACTCCAACAATCATCAACAGCACAATAAGCCTTTACTTAAGTTTAAAGTCTAATTTAATGAAATTAAAATTTTATGAATAATGATGGCATCGCCTCTGAATTATTCCAGGTCGTGTGAACGATATATAAGCAAATTAAAGCAATAATATTGCTATCAATCATATGTTGGTCCATTTGTTGAGCCTAGAATATTAAGGTAGGAAATGGTTTAAAATTCAACCCATACCTAATTAAAGCCTCAAAATTGTGTATTATTTAAGGATTAAAAAAGTAATGCAAATAACCCTAAGAGCTCATGAAAGGGTAAGGTAGGCGAGCGCAGCAGTTGAGAAAAGCTAGAAATATAATTGAAATATGTTTGGTATTGAATGCATACCAAGTTGACCAAAAACAATAGGCTTAAATGAGATCTGTCTATCGTCTCGTCATATGTATCGTCATTTGTGTAAGGAGAAGATTGTGGGTATATAAGTATAAGACATTATCTTCATTATTATGAGGCTTTTTAAAACTATTAAAAATTGTTAAAGATCATGTTTGGTATTGAATACATACCAAGTTGACCAAAAAGATTTATATTGATGATTTCAAGTATGTGCGGTTAGAAATACTACTAATTACCTCTTCAAATACTCGGTACGAGAATATATATATATACAGTCATTTACTAAACTATACATAAATAATATTAGACATTCTTTCAAATGCATATCCCTTTTTTAATAGCACGGATACAAAAGTTTACAAGAAACAATTGGTCGTATTGTTTGCCTCAACTTCCATTTAGCTAATAAGCCTATGAAAATTTAGGTCCCACGAGCGGCACTTTCTTGATATCGGCAATCATAACTCATTCGGTCATGTAATCGAAAACGGACCCACATGTCGCTCATCTCATCAGGACATCTCAAACATCCATCCATTCGGGTTCTATCGGGGCGTTGGCCCTCCCGTGTCCAGGCCATGTCATTTACAGATATCGTATTGGATAGCGAGTGTATCATTCAACCCTCGACACACGTGCATGGGAGCAATACCGGCACACCCATGTTGCCCAGTATTGTCTTTAAAAAACTTATTTTAAAGGAAGTCGTCCGAGACACTTGTCTCAACATACTTGCTCACACTGTGACACACGCATGTGCCACAAGGTAGCTCGCTTAGGCCACAGGGTCCAGGAATAGTAGAAAGCTGACACCAAGTTTCCCCCTATAGTACATTTTGAGCTATTTTCAATACTCTACATGTAGACCTGATTTTGATGAACAGTCTTACGATGTCGTGGAGCGTCCGTCCGATGTCCAATTGACACCAAATTTGGCGAGCATTCTTATTTCATATGGACGGATTGAACTCCAAAACCGCATGCCCAAATTCCTTCTAGAACCCCAACTTTTGAGGTTAAGGCCCGAGACCTTACCTGACCCTTCAATAAGCCTTGCCACTCTTGTCTACTTGTTGTCCTTATCTTGCTTATGCCTCAACTTCTCTTCAATGTCCGCTTCATGTGGTGTGTTAAATGATGCACCATCCTCCTCGGTCACATCATGGCACTCGTTTAGACCCTCGTGTGGCCAGATGGGGCCCACTTGAGGGTTATCGCTTCTCTTATCACAACGTGAGGGTCACAACCTACT